GGAAAAATGCAATTCATTCAATATTCCCCAAAGCACAGCACTTCTTAGCTGGAATAATACCTGATCCTGTTGTCCTTAGCCAAGCAGCCCTCGTGGATGTGCCAGATGCCGGCTTTCACGTGTTAGGAGTGTCTGTTCCTATGACAGCCTGGCTAGACAAGGGCAAGACCAATTTACTAAACCTTTTAATTTCACCCAAATATTGCATAATTAAAAATTTAAATAAAATTGATGCCCATAAATTACTGAATATCTACATTTACAAGAATTAGCTCTTAATTTTGCAAAACATTTCAAGCACACACCGGTCAAAGATTTCCACCAAAGACAAGGAAAGGTTTCTAAATAATCCTTTTTATTTAGAAGATATTTTATTATTATTATTTTGGGTGATTAATTGTGATTGATTTGCTATTAATGTGGTTCACAGAGTATTATCATGTAATGTTCTCTTCAGCAGGTTAGACTCTTTTCAGGTTAGACTGAAATTATATGTGAAATATTCTGTTCACATTATAGCTCTAAACCAAAAGGGAAAAAATCTCACTCTTCTTTTTATTGTGGTATTTATGATCAATATAAAATAAAGCTTACATTAAGACTTCATGAGCTTGTCTTGAAGGCAATTGCCTTGGCTATTGCCTCTAACTTCAAATAAAAAAAAATTCCTATGTGCTTTTTTCTTGGTGTTTGCTTCTTGCGTTAAGGCATAGCCAGATCTGGATGCATTTTGGTTTTAAAAAAATCATCATTGTTGTGATGACATCAAGATCATCATTTAAGATAATAATGAAAACTGGCAGAAGAATCTAACAATTTATGTTTAGCAGCAGGATTTCTCTTTGCCATCCCATCAAGATCCCACTGGTAGGAGGAAGCCTTCCCCAATTACTGGAGAAGTCTGGGTTATCCAAGGATATGGACACACTGGGTTAGTAAAAATACCTGCTTTTCTACTGAAATACAGGACTAGGGCTGGTTTACACAGTTTTGATTTTGCTGTGTAACTACATTTAGAACTGGAATAGCTTTGACTGACATACAGTACATAGAAATGCATGTACCTGAAAACTTCATCTCCTCGGGTGCCCTTGGAAACAGGAGTTTCTGGTTTAGGAGCTTCACATCTGAGATAAAACCCCAGGCCTGTGGGGAAAAAAAAAGTACAGAATTTCAGCTGTGGAAATGCAAGATTTCACTCTGAATTAAATTTATCCACTCTCAGACTTCCCATCAAACACAAACAGCAAATTGCCTGGGAAAATCTGCTACACAAAATAAAGGATCTGCTGTAGGTATGTAATATGTGTAGCCAAACCGTGGTGGTTCCTGGATCCACAGCCAGGATCACTTCTGTTGCACACTGGGACCAGGCAGCATCACTCTTCTCCCCGGAGTAATCAAGACACCCATTCTAGGTATTAGAATGTACCATTCACATCCAGGCATTGCCCAAACCTCATGGTCAAAAAATTGCTGCTAAAAACTTAAGTAAACAAAAAGCCTCCAGTCAACAGTAATTTCCTTTTTAAAATTTTTCGAGAAAGAGATTTAGTTTTTAAAGTAATCACAGTAATTTTTGCAAGCACCCACTTGCCACCTGGTTTGCTGAAAGAGTTGGGAACAGGGCTGTGAAAAGTAAGTTATTTATGTTGTTTCTAAAGCACTTCTAGTGGAGTATTTCTAAGGCATGCAGATACATTTGTGTTTTTACACGACGCTACAAAGACACGATTGGTTTGACATCTTTTACCCAAAAAACCCAGCACAATATTAATTTTAGTCTTATATTCTGTGTGAATGAAACGGCGATGAAGGCAACGTGCCCACACAGACAAGGAAAATATGGAAAACGCCAGAGCAGAGCACACAAACTGAAAACAAACAGGTGGAAACCTTAGATAAACTTATCCGTTGCTCCTTAGGAGGAAAAATACAGTGAATCTGAATTATTTTGCATCGGTTTTAAAAAGACCTTGCCCTCTGTGTAACTCCGGTCACAGGTAACGAAAACCCTTTCTCCGGAGCAGAGAAATAGGAGCCTGGCTGTCGGCGTGCGGGGCAGCACCGCTGCTCACGGCCCCGCGGGGCTGCTGCGTCCCGATCCCGCATCCCGGCTGCCCGGGCC